GGCGGGTGTTGGTGGAGGAAGAGGAGGAGGAGGAGGGAATCGTCTCCGTGGTGTGCTCGTCGTTGGATGCGTTATTTTTGGGTTATTTCGAGCGGCGGCGTTCTATTTCCGCCGACTGAGAGCAGGCTGCGCGTTTCGCTTTTATTTTTACTGCGGTACCGCGAGGTTCCGGACCGAAATCATAACTAAAGTGAAGACATATATCGATCGATATTTGCATTGATTCAATTGGTGATTTTTGTTTCGTATTGGCGTTACGATGGAGGCGGATATTTGGGGTCAGATGGCCCTCGAGGCCAACCAGATGTATTTGACGGATGGAACGGCGGCCCGATCTCCCTTCGCCGGAACTGTAAACTACACTCATTTACCTCCCGCAATTCTTAATAATCTCTGAACGTTTTTTTTTTTTTATTAATTTCTTGTTGTTTTCCAGACCATCGAGAAGCTTCCCGATAAAGTTCTGCTGAACATCTTCTGCTACCTGTCGCACCGCGAGATCTGCCGATTGGCGACCATCTGCAAGAAGTGGCGTTTGATCGCGTACGACACTCGCTTGTGGAAGAACGTCTCGCTGCGGCCGGAAATCTCCGGACTGCACGTGGGCAGTCTCGAATCCCTTCTGGCCCTCATCTCCATCCGTTTCGGTCCCAGTTTGCGGTACATCGAATTACCGATCGAGCTGATCACGCACACCGTTCTCCACGAACTCGCCAACAAATGCCCCAATCTGACGCACATGCTCTTGGACTTCTCCACAGCTATGCAGCTGCACGATTTCAGCGAGCTGCAGGCGTTCCCCACGAAGCTGCGTTACCTGTGCATCTGCCTGTCGGAGGTCATCTTCATGGAGGGTTTCATGCGCAAGATCTACAACTTTATCAACGGACTGGAAATCTTGCATCTTTTGGGAACGTACGAGAAGGTCGAGGAGGAGGAGGAAGAGATTTACGAGGTGATCAACGTGCACAAACTGAAATCGGCGACGCCCAATTTGAGAGTAATCAATCTGTACGGCATCAACTTTGTCGACGACAGCCACATCGACGCGTTCAGCTCGAACTGCATCCAGGTTAATTATTATCAATAATCATGAATAATATCATAATTAACTGTATATAACATTTGCAGCTCGAATGTCTGGCAGTTAATTACTGCTCGAAGGTGACCGGATCTACGATGAAGACGCTCTTCCAGAGAAGTCGTCGCCTCAAATGTCTCCTGATGAATGGGACGAGTCTGCAGAGCGAACATCTGATGCAGATCGAATGGGAAAAGTGTTCGCTGCAGGAGTTCGACATCACCGCGACGGATCTGTCGACCGATTGCCTCGTCGACATGCTGACCCGTCATCCGGGTTTGCGATTCCTGAGCGCCGGCCAACTGAACGGCTTCAACGATCACGTGCTGAAGACGTGGATGGAGCAGGGCAACGCCAAGAATCTGGTCGCCTTGGACCTGGACAGCTCCGACAATCTGACGGACGACGCCCTCTACAAGTTCCTCTCGAAGCACGGCAGTCAGCTGTGGGGTCTCGGCCTCTCCGGCATGTCGCACATCACCGACTCTCTCTGGCAATCCATCCTTCCCATCCTAAAGAACGCCAAGTAATTACACACATCATCGTCATTATCATGTACAATTCGATTCATTACATCTTTTTTCGTGTCGCAGGATCCTGGTGATGGGCACGCAGGAGCGGCTAGGCGTCAACATCCTGGTGGATCAGCTGATGGAGACGATCGCCAACAATTGCCCGATCCTGGAGCGCCTCGAGCTGCGCTGGGATCCGGAAAACCTTCGTTTCTCCGACAAGAGTCAGAAAGCCATCGACACTCTGCGCGTCAAGTGTCTCAAACTCAAATCGCTGGTCCTCAGGTAAGAGAATTGAACAATTATGCAACCACATTATCCCAACTGTATACATATAATTGCATACTGACATTTTAGCGACGGACGTTATTACGAGGTGGTCAAGGCGAACTTCGAGCGCGCCGACCGAATGACCGTCGTACGGACATTGACGAACTGTCGCGTCTCCAACTATTACCTCCTCTCGAACTACAAAGATCTTGTCTTCAATTGAGTCTTCCAACTTTCTTCACTTGTCACAAACAACTGCAACAACAAACTCTGGGGAGTGGGGGTGAGGTTGTCGATAAATTAAAGAGCCGACTAGATTTAACTCAAAATATAATTTATTATTCCGATACATTTTCAATAAATAAAGTCCCACAACTTTTTCTCCTTTCTCCTTGCACAATCTTTCTATTTCTCTCTCTCTTTCATACAAACATACACACACAATTTGCAATCAGAAAGATACGCACTACTCTCCTCCAACTACAAAATATTAACTTGATTAATTCATTTACTTAATTTACGTTTTCTTCATACATTTATATATATACTATAAACATTTAGTTTGCACCAAAACACGGTACACGTTATTATGTTACAGTTAAAGTTTACGTTAAATGTAAGTGTTTTGTATGTATTTGGAATGCGTGCGAGTGTCGAGTGTGTTTGTTCATTCATTTATTTATTTGTTATTGTGAACGGCAAACAAACAAAAGAAAAGCGCCGGATCTATCTATCTAGATGTGTGTGTGTGTGTGCAAAGAAAATTACCTCACAAGAATTGAGCAAATCTAAAAATAATCGTTTCTAATTGTTATAATTTCGTTCTTTTTTCACCCCATATCTTTTTCCAATTTTCTCTTTCATTCTTCCGATAGTTTTTGTAAAAAAATTTCAAAAATATATATATAGATACGCCAAAAATCGATAGGTGTAAAATGGCTCTCTTGATAAGTATACTTCATATTCTCTTCCAATCAAATGTTAGAAAAGAAGCAAACATATTCGAAATTCGTTTCTTTGGTTAATTGAAAACATATTAACTAGACAGAAGAAGAAGAAAAAAATTATTTAGTTTGATTCATAATTGGTGATTTTCTTTTTATAAAGTTTAAGTCACGGTAAGATGGCACCAATCACTAATTTAACTTTAAAAAAACAAATGCGAATCGCGCGCGCGTCTTCTTTCAATTATTCATTTTTTTTTGATAATAATAATATACAAAATTCCTGCCTTCTCTCTCTCTCGCTCTCTCAACTTTTTGGTCCTTTTCACGCGAAAACAAAATAATAATAATAATAAAACAACAAATTGAGAGAAAACGAAAAAAAAATCCCCTAAAAATATTTTCAGTTGGTTGCGCGCGATTTCGAAACGCAAGAGTAAATAGGAAAATTATATCATTAAAGTTACTTAACTATTTACATAATATATAGGTCGGATTCTCGTGCGTTCGTTCTTCGCATTTAAAAATACACTTATTACAAATTCATTTACTCTCTCTCTCTCGTACATTTACATTTATATATATTTATTTCTTTATTTTTAGTTATTTTTTTTTTGTTTGTTTCTTCAAAAAAATTTTTTTATATGTTTTACCCCAAAGAAAAAAAAAATCATAGTAATTTCCAACAAAACTTATACATGTAATAATAATTATTATAATTAAAAATCACCGCTCATAGAGCTGAAAGCATAGTAAAAAAAAATGAAAAGATAATAATAACATTAAATCGGTTCATTCGCGCTCCACGACAAATTATTCAAATTGGATTGTGATGAGAAATATTTAAATAATAACAGCAGCATTAGGGACATTTGAGTTTAGTCTGTTGGTAACGTGTTCGCGAAAAATGACGTCGTCGGTTTGTTAATGGAACAAAAAAAAGACCTGATGCTCTGATGTCCTTCTACCTATTTCCTTCATCCCTCAATCCCGACCGGTGAGTAAATTCACGAGTTCTCTCATTCAATAATCGAATCATCGTTATTCAAAATTGTTAAATTAGTTGGTGGTAATCGAGTGAAGTCGGGTCGAGTCGCCGAACCGAACGGAGGAACGTAGTTACGCGCGTCAACAGGATCACAAACATGAGAAAAGTTAATAATAATAATAATTTGATAATTGGATGCAACCGATATGATTAATGAAATGCCCTCATCCTCGTCTCGTCATCCACCGATTGTTAAAATTAACTAAATTTTGTCTGTTTTTTTTGTTTGTTTTGGCTGATTCTTATTTTTTGTTTCAGAAAATGAAAGAAAAAAGAAGAAATTTCAAGTTGTATTTGAGGAGAGAATCATAATAATTATATCGATAGCAGTCGAGGATCGAGCGGAGCGCGACGGTAAGTTTAAAATTATCACCTATGATTGACGACGACGACGCCTCCTTCTTCCTGAGGTGGTGGCAGCGGCGACGGCGGCGGTGGTGGAGGTTGCTGCTGCTGTTGTTCCTCTTGCTGCGGTGCGTCGGCTGCGGGCGTCGTGTTGCCCGAATTTGCGGCGTGCAGTATCTCGTGACAGAGAGGGCAACGGTCCTGGACGTAGAGCCACTTGCGCAGGCAGACGCCGTGGAAGAAGTGCTTGCAGCGGGTGATCTTCGCGGTCTGCATGTCCTGGTAGCAGATGGCGCACACGTCGTCCAGAGACTTGAGCTGATGTTCGGCCGCCTCGGGGAGGCTGTCGATCTTTTTCACCGCCGACCGTCGCTTCATGAAGACCGACCAGCCGGCGCGGGCGTCGCACCAGATGTTGAAGTAGGCGTGAATGCACATCATGACGGCGCGGATGGCACCGCCGCTCTCGAAGGCCAGGATCCAGGCGCCGTTGAAGAAGAGGAAGATGCCGAAGCAGAACTCGACGGTGTTACCGAACGCCCGGATGTAGTAGACGTAATCGTCGAGTCGTTCCCAGAAGGTCTCCTTGCGCGCGTCCAACAGGAACAGCGAGTATATGCACAGGGAGACGGCCACCTTGACGATCACCTCCGTACTGAAGGCGGAGACGGCGAGCAGCCACGTGGAGACGGGATGGTGAGACCACAGGTAGTAGAGGAGCAGAATGGGGAAGAGCACGAGGAAGCCGCAGACTGCGAGCGCCCTGAAGTGCTTCTCCTTGGATGGATTGTGGGAGGCGCTCAGACTCATCAGCAGCGGATTCACGGTGTTGTGGATGAAGTGGAGGAGAGCGGTGAAGAGGAGGCAAAAGTTGCGGCACAGTCGGACGAATCGTTTCTCCGGTTCGAGACTGGTGAGGCCGGTCTGCAGTGCGAGTATGTAGAAGAGGATGGCCGAGACGGTGCCCAGACCCTTGTCGTTATCGTCGTTCGTCAGCAGGATCCACTGGAAGAACTTGCCGATGTGGTGACAGAGGTAAGAGACGATGCTGGTGATGCCGAGGACGGCGGTCAGAGTGTCGCATCCGGTGACCAAGGTGCTCTTGAGCAGACGAAATGCGGGCGTCAGATTGCTTTCCGCTGCTGCTCCTGCTGTTGCTTGCAGACCACCTCCAATTACTCCACCTCCGCCACCGTTCCACAGATCCGAGATGAAGAAGATACCGGTGTGCTCGAAGACTCGCAGGATCCAAAAGGTTCTCAGCACCTGGGGCACGCCCAATCTGGACCATTCCGCCTCAATCAGAGCGGACATTCCAAACTGAGTGAGGTACGTCTTCGTGTGCATGAGGCCGGAGTAGATGATGCGCGATATTGTGATCAGGGATGCCCATACCACAAATTTGACGACCGCAAGCGGTAAAAGGGCTGAGAAGATCGGCGCCTGCTGAAGAACTGATGCGGGCATCGGCAACATCGCGAGCACGGACGGCGCCAGGAACGAGAGCGGTAGCAGCGATTGGAGGACGCGATAGCGCGGTCCCAGATGGACCTTCATGAAGACGAAGGTGAGTCCCAGTTGCAGCAGCAAGTTCTGCAGTATCGGGAACGACGGTCCATCCGGATCGATGATCTTGTTGAAGTTGAGCGAGAGGAAGTCCTCGAGCATCCTCGGCACTTCAACCACATCCGGCACGTTGAACGTCGCGATCGCCGTTTTCATGGTGCTCACGTTCGTCCAGTACGACACGAAGACGATGCCCACGGACATCAGGTAAATGTACACCGGCATCAAGTGTTTGGTCTTCAGCACAAACAGACAGAGTGCAGCTAAGCATCCTGAAACAACGCAAATATCAATCAATTAATAAGTCATCACTCTTCCAATGTGGTATTTCATCGATTTCAACTGTTGCCAATTAATACATTTTCCAAATTATTCAAGCATATGCCAATGACAATGAATGTGCCCGAAATGAATATGCATCAAAATTCACAAACAAAACACCAGTGTCATCACAGTGACACACAGTATTATTGCACAGTTCATGTATGAATATTATTTTTTACTTTGTTTTGACATTTCACACGATAACCTTTTGGAAATTTGTTGTTTTGTTTTAGTGATTAGTCATGATTGGCTACATCTCAGCTACATTTGATTGGATAGAATCGCAATAACATTACCTGTACTGCTCAGCAAAATCTGGAAGATGTACATGAAGAGGTACCTATACATGGTGCTGTCATATGTGTTGGTGATGTCGTCAATAGGGGATTGGGATGGGGATGAAGCAGATGCTGATGAAGAGGAGGAGGAGGAGGAGGAGAAGATGATGTTGGAATGGTTGGTGATCGTGACGATGTTGTTGACATCATCGTGACCGGCGCTCTTCTGGTTGATAAAGTCATTGTCGGCGGGAATGTCGGCGAAGCTGACACCCGCCTTGAGGATCTCATCGATGATGAAGAGGGGTGGCACCCTCAGAAGGACGTCGACGAAGCGCGTCACTCGGCGGTGGTTCAACACCTGCCACATATGGGTGTCTCGTCGAAGATGATGATGATGCTGACCTCCAGGTGGGTTTCTTCTGTCTCTCTCTCTCTCTCTCTCTCTGTCAGCAACAGCAGTAGCCAACTCGCACGAACACACTCGCGCACACACTATAATAATACTATTTGTGTTGTTGTTGTTCTTAATGTTTGTATTCTGGTGTGGGAATCGTTTGGCCCTATTTTCAGAACTGACCTGCCCTGACTGACGGACGCCTGTCTGGATCTGTTTTTTTTTATTTTCGTCGTAGTTGCCGTCAAACCCCTTTGAACCCTGACCGAAGAAAGCACCTCGAATGACAGATGTGTGTGGACGTCCGCGCGCGCCTTCGTCGTCAGTCCGCCGCGAAACCGAAAACGCGGCAGATATCTACAACGCATTGGGTGTCAGACAATTCAAACAGATGGCGACGGGCACGTCGATAAATAAACAAGCCCTTTGCTGCGATAAGTATGTAAACAAAGAGAAGGAAATCGCGCGCGTTCTTTGGCAAATTTCAATATTCTCTTACTGTTATTAGAATCGAATGCGTCTCGATCTGTTGACGGTCCTCTCAGCAAAATTCTTTCAAATCAATTGTTTGATTGTTGTTGAGGAAGCGCGCGTGCAAAATTGTGTTTTTACTCGAGGACGATGCCGAAAACGCGCAAACCTTACGAAAGGGACGAAGACGTTCGCTTAGTGGAATATATTATTAAAAACGATGGGAGCACGAAGTTGCGTGGAACGATCATGTGGAAGGAGATGGAGGAGAGCGGAGAATTCGAGAGGAGTTGGCAATCGTTGAAGAATCGTTTCCTGAGATCTATTCTACAAAATATGGATCATCTGAAAATCGATCCGGAAATGCGCAGAACGATTTATGAAGGGTTCGAGGCGTCGAAGGGCACCCCCAGGTCCGTACGCGTCAGAGTACCATCGACTAAGCAAAAGTTCCTCTTAAAGATTAAGTTTGATTCGCCAGAACAACAACAACAATAATAATCGTTATAACATTATATTTTCATTTACTATTTCACATATTCTATCTTTATTTTCTTTACCTTAAATAAAAACACATTTTATAACAAAGTACACCGAACACAATTTTTATTTTTATGCACTTTTACCTTCATAAAACAAAGCAAATTGTTAAAACCAACTTTGCAAAGGTCAGTTTCTGATAAAAAAAAAACGACAATTATTTTATTAATTTTAATTGTTTCTAATTTGTTGCAGATGCTTGCAGATTTCAACGATTTTATATATTGATAGAGAGGAAGAGAGGAAAGTATAGAAATTATCATAATTATCGTATATTTATTTGTTTTTATTTGCAGATAAACTAGAAAAGAGCGAACACGTAAGAGAAGAAGAAAATCAACAGCAGTTAAGAATAAGTGTAAACAGAGGGAAGTTGATTAGAATTATTTGTTTAGTTTTTGCAGAATTCACGCGCACACAGTTGAAAATAACAGTTTTCTTATCGCTGTGTTATTCAACTCGTAATAATTAAATTACGAACATACACGTACATTTAGAGAAATCCAAATGATCCGTTGTATTAAATACATTTACATTTCGTAACTAATCAAACGTTCAATGTAAATGTGATCAAATCATAATTTGAAATGAGTGCGAAACGTAGGCAACTAAAGTTGCTTAAATTGCAATGCATTGCTTTCATATAATTAATATGACGTTTACTATTAACTCGTGTATATTTATGCAATATTGTGTTAATTGTTGATTGATTGATTGTTTAATTATATGTATTTTTTTTTGTTTTTAGAATTTAGCAGATTTGGTAGCTGCGCAAGAGATGACGCCACGCGTCTCACGACCGCAACAATTAATAATGCGTGATGGGGAGAATTCAATCGATTGGATTCAGGTAATTCTGAATGATTTTATTAGATTTGCATTGATTTCGTTTCGTGTTGTTTTAGTGGATGGACCGGAGCAGCAGCAGTAGCAGCATCCAGGTAATATTATGATGTATAAAGGTGGAATGCCGGAAGAATCTGGAGAGATTAATAATTGAAATTTGAAGAGGCGGCGGTGGCGGCGGCTGCTGCTAGAGGTGCGACCACCCTTTGGTGAACAAAGTGCGATAGAGACAAAAGGGCTTCGACGACGACGACAATACACCGAATTCTCCCCCTCTGTGTCATGGTGGAGGCGATGGTGAGCGTGTGAGAGGGGGTGGCGGCGGCGGCTTTTTGTGCGGCGATAACGTCGGAGGGGTTGCCGCGCCACATAATAGTTCTATTGCATAATAGGAGGGCGTTCGACGTCGAAGGGAATGGAGGTGGCTGTGGCGCGCGTGGGGCGGAGGAGGCGGCGGCGGCGTTGGTCCTTATCAGAAAATGACTCATAACAACTGACAGACGCGAACGGGAAATTGGAATAAGAAATTTTCGGGCGTAAAATGGAAGATAGTCGAGCTGTAATTTCCTACCGTCCGCACCGGCACACTGCGATGATGCCGCCGCCGCCTCCAACAACGCCGCCCCCTTCATCCTCTGCACCCCTTTTGTCTCCGTTCAGTACGCTTGAATGCATTCTCATCTCCTCTTCTCCTACAACACCTACCAACACCAACACCCCAACATCCCCCGCCGCCAACAACAGAACATGTAGCATCGTGAGCATTTCATCTTCTTTGTTAATTTTAAATTACATTCGAATTAGTTTTCTCATCATCCGCCTCCCTGCCTCACTGCCTTCTCATTTCTCCCCTCCCCACCCCATCCTCATTTATTTACATCTCAACTTTCTAAATGATCGACAATATTATTTAAATTCAAATTGGCACCGTTATTATACATTTGACAATTAAATGTCACTTTGACATTGACTTTTTGATTGTCAATTTAGTTTTCTAATCATCCGCACTTTTCGATTGTCAATGTCAATCTTTGCTTTCCACACATTTCTTCGCATTTATTTCACTATCATTATTATTATGATTGTGTTTATTATCCGCACTCGAATATATTTAGTCTAGCAATTAAAAATCTTATTAATTTTATTGCTATCCTCTATACATAATCCTCTGAAAAATCCCATAAATTCGGTAAAGCTCCATTACAGTTATTTACACACAAACTTGGTAATTTTGCACGCAGATAACGTACATGTTTACTGATTAGAAACTAAAAATAAAAATATTATTAATTCTTTAATAGACCCTAAAAATGTTCCAATTCAATATTTTCCTTAGGGAACAGATAAATAAATCTCGAAAAGGAAAATTATCTAAATGTATGGAAATAACTAAATTCAGTGACGATTTTTTCACAAGGCAATAAAACTTTTTCTCCGATATTAAAATTGTTTAAAAAGTCAAGTTGGCGCCGTTCATCAATTTAGTTTTCTACTTAGTTTGATTTATGACATTTAATTAATAAGTGACAGTGACGTTTCGATTGTCAATTTTGTTGTTGTTGGTGGCGGGGGTGGCGGTGATACGACAGCATTCGTTTCTTTCACTAAAATCTATTTAGAGAAAAGGGACTTGGGCATTTTTAAATAGAGTTTCTCCTTCGTTTTATTATTGCGCGTCGCGCGTGATGAATGCCGCCGCTGCCGCTGGATCTTTAAAGCGAGGTTTCGGGTTTTAAAGTGAGTTGAAGATGATGCTGGAGGAGGAGGATGTGAGGAGGAGAAGTGAAGAGGAATGCTCGGGCAGAGAGATGAGATGTGAGATGTTATGTGAGTTGTTGTTGTCTTCTTCTTCATCTTCATCTTCTTCTCTTCTATTTCTGTCATAAAGCAAAGTGTAGTAAATGTCTTTCGGTTAAAGAGCGAACACGAGACTCGCATGCTGATTAATTCGTTATTTTGACGTGCGGCTTGTAAAGACTATTAGCCGGAGGCCTTAATGACCCTCGGTGATGGCATATTAGTGGCTTACACATGTGTAACCGAGAACACTACACACCATCCACCATCCACCACCAATCCTCATCCTCATCCTCTCTCTTACACTCGTTCTCATCCTGCATCATCTTGCATCATCCATCTCTATTCTCTATTCCCGCATCCACCCCTCCCAACCCCGCCAACTTATTCTTCGTTTATTCATATCCCAAAGAAGAACAAACTCATAACTCATTAATAATAATCATAACTTCATCCTCGTGTGTCGCTTTCCGTTTTCCTTTGCGTATCATCGTTAAAAAGACCCATAAACCTCGTTTCAACTCTCGCAGAATTCGCGCATCCACTATTATCTCCTTTAGACATTTCCATCTCTTTTTTTGGGAAGAACTTTTAGTGCATTTTTAATGCGCCAATTAAGGCGCCACCCGTTTCCCATTAGAAAACCATCTCGAATTTATATTTCAACGCAGATGTGTTTCTTTTCTGTTCTTCTCACTTACATACATACATGTTGTATATGTCGAATGGAAAATATTAAATATTCATTTTCATCGTTACAACTAACAACAAAGATAATGATGATGGTAGTTTTTGGAAAGCGACCCTCACATTACAACGTAAATATCAATCGCTTTGTTTGCGCACTGCATTTTACTTGAATGGTTTTCGAGTGTCGTTGTATTCTGTATTCAGTTGTGAGCATAATGTAATAGTAACAATTCCACGAAGTGCGTGTTCTTATTAAATGCCGATTACTACCTCTACCCTCTATCTACCTGACCTACCTGTCGCTGATTTATTATTATTTTCTTCATTCTTTAACCAACAACATCTCAATGATCTTTCATTCTTTCACAAAAATCCATTTCTCAACAACTCGCATATTATACACGAATGTCCCAATAGTCGTACGGTTATGACAGACTGCGGCCTAAACTACCTATACTTTACTTTTCTTTCATTCATTCATTCGTTCGTTTTTTCGTTCATTCATACGTACATTTATATTTTCGGTACTGGGAATATGTAACAGGTCACAAACTACATTCAATGTGAGTCACTAAGGCACAATCTATCATCTTGATTTTCCTACTTGAAAACTTTTCTTCAAAAACTCTAAACACTAAAACATAAAACGTCATTTCTCTGTTTTTTTTTCAGTTTCTACACTCCATAGCAGGCAACACGAAGATACTAATAAGATCGTTGGAAAGGCGAAACATTCAGCTTTCATACGAGTGGTCGATGATGTAATTAGCTTCAAGGGTTGTCGAGTTATTAACGAAAAACTGAAAACACTGCAAAAAAGACGCGAAAACCGTGATTTCTC